GGCATTCAAGGCTGTGTGTTCTCATTCGACAGGCGCCTTGCTTGAAACCAGATTGAAATTGGCTTGAGCAGATGCATATTTTTTGGATTTGCTTAATGTCTTCGCCTCATGCCTCCTTTTGGGCAAGAGCCGGCAGAAGTGCCTCAGACTCAGCACGCGCATCTCAGATTTGCAGCAGCGCCGAAGAAGGCAGCAAAAGCCCCACGGCCTTTGCCCTCAAGGGCTTTCAAGCCGGAGTCAAACGAGAGACTGGAGGCCTTGCAGCTGGGTCCCAAGCCAAAGTCCGGCTGCCAACTACGCAATGCAAGTTCAGCTTCGAAGTCCTCACAGGTCAGGCCTTTTGCTGATGAGCAGGATGAACCCTTGCGGCGCTGCGCACGGCGCCTGTCACTGCCGGCTGCGCCCTTTGGCGCAGAAGATGAGACTGAGAGTGATGGATCCTCCACATCTAGCAAATCTGAATCTGAAGCAAGCGGTGGCAAGGCGGCGCAGTCTGTGTTTGCGCTGAACTGGCAGTCCCTTGTGCAGTTTAAGGCAGGGACATTTTGGAAGGACAACACGCATGATCCAGCTGCTGAGAGAAAGAAGAGGCAGTACAACAACAGCAATCGGGCAGTAAAGGCGAAGAATGCCCGCAAATCCAGAGCTGGGCGGCACCAAAAGAATGGCTTGGACCCAACCAGAGTTGACCGCCTTCTGGAGATGAAGTCATGCCATTGCCACTTGCTTGCAGTGTGCATATGTGCGGCGCTGCGAGCAATTTGCAGTGGCTTTAACGCTGCCGGACAGGCGCCTTGAAAGTGTGCTTCCAGCAGTTCAACGCATCCAAGAAGCAGCTGGCCCTTTTCTTGGAGAAGTTTTGGAAGCTGAAGAAGCCAGATCAGGATGCGCTAGAAGCTCGATTGCAGCAAAGGTGGGGAGCAACTATTATCAGTGTATTGTTCACGCTGAGGTTCATCAGTCTTTCGCAGGCAGCAGCCAGGCAACAGAGCGGGCTCACACTTTGCTGGACAAAGCCGTTGGGCTAAAGTGCTTGGCCGCCTTGTTAGGGATGGGCCGGGACAGAGTTCGGAGGCAGGAAGCAGGCGCCCCAGACTTGCGGTGCGGCAGAAAAGAAGGCAGAAGCAGGGAGACTACGTGGTCAGTGGACGGCTTTTTGAAGATACTCTATGATTCTTTGGCTGAAACCCTTCCTGACCAGCGGCTTAGCTCTTACTTTCATTTTAGTTTGTGACGCCCGCGGGATGAAGCTGGTTCTGTGCAAGTTGGCTTTGCTGCAGGTTTGTGCGAAGGGGCCGGGCTGCTCGACGCAAACAGGACCTCGACAATTCTAGCGACAGTGACTTTGAAGAAGTTGACTCAGAGGTGGGCAACACAGAGGAGTTGGAGGAATGGCTTTCACATTCAGCCAGCAAATCCCTGCTTCTGCCTGGTCAATCTCTTGTGCAGAAGTTTCTGCCACCTGGCACTGTTGCTGATCTCTTCGAGCACTACAAGGCAACCCAGCAATTAGCTGGTGCCCCATTTGTGTCGTTGCTTGGCTGTTAGTGCGCGTTGCACCTTGAAGTCGGAGAGCAGCGCATTAAATTGCACGCTTGCCTCTGTGTCTTACATTTCTGCTCCACGTGAGGTACACTACCTTCCACAGGGTGTACACAATTCGATGGGCTTCCGTGCTGAAGCTCCGGCAGCGTACGTTGTTTTCGCAGTGCGAAGTTTGCCACAAGCACAGGCACGCGCTGAGTGACAAGACCAAGTCCATGGAAGCCAAGCTGGCTGCATTGACCGAGTACCGCAAGCACTTGCACAATCAATTTTGCGACCGGACGATTCTGTGGACATTGCATACCGAGTCGGCTGACTTCAACACAGACGTCTTGGTGATATCAATAGACGGGCTTGATCAAGCCAAATTTGCTCTTCCACGAGACGCCCAGCTTCGACCATCCGCGTCCCTGTGAGCTGACTGCAGTCAGTGTCGAAGATTGAGTCTAAACAAGTTGCTGCGCCAAGGAGCAAGCATCAGCGCCCTCGCCTCAAGGTGCATGGGGCCTGGGCATTTGGCTACGTGCTGGAAATTTTTGTCATGGACGATGTTGCAAAGCACGACTCCTCATGCATCATTGAGATACTGGCACTTACCCTCGAGAAGGACACTTGGCTTTTTGAACATAGCGTGCCTGAATCTACTAGTTTGCCATGACATACCATTGCTGGGCACAGTCCAGGTCAGACTGATCTGCACAGAGAAAGGCAAGTCGATGCCAAAATCCGTACTGATTCAGGTGCCGGTGTGTGTGTGTGTGTGACAATTTGCCAATTCTGAACAGTAGCACGACTGGATGCTGTGCGCGTCAGGCAGATAATACCGTGCGGGAGGCCAAGAATATGTATTGCCTCTCGTACCTTCAGATGCTGGTTTCAAAATTTCACGCCCGGCAAACTGGCCTACTATTCCTACGCAAATCGCACACGCACTGTAAAATAGGCATCTTGGCAGCAAAGTGATCAGCGGTTGGCCTGTCTACACGCCTTATAAATTCTGAACTTGGTCGCTCTGAGACCAACTTTGGGGACTTCTTGCTCGAAGAGTGGGAAACACAGACAGGCTTCTGGACGCTGGCGATGTCACTGCTGTCATTGAGGACGAGCTCACAAAAGCCGCAGTTCGAGATTGGGTGGGACCACACACCAAGGTTTCAGTCCGCAACCTGAATGCCACACGTGACTGGAGGGCGCACTATCCTGCAGGTGTACGCCTGGAAGGCGGGTTGCTGGAGGATGCTCGCGGCAACCACTTGTTCCTGAACGTGCTGAGACAAGGCCCAGTATTTTTGAAAATATTTTTCAGTGCTTATTATTCTGACCGGTTCAACTTTGCAGCTTGTTGCACTTTGCCCTGGCCAGATTTGCCGGCGCCCCTTGAACGAATAGTGGACCGTGGCTCTTATATTGGCCCACCTGGCGCCAATGATACGGTTTGCCTCATCAAGCAGCACATTTGTGATGACCAGCTATCACAGCGACCCCTCTTGGTGCAGACAGAAGCCCGCGCGCGTCAGTTTTCATTGACAGCTCCTCTGACAAAGTGTCTTGACAAATTAAGTCGGTCCCCCGTGCGCAGTCCACACACGCCTTGCCAACGAGGCTTGGGTCATGTTTGCCACACAATGAGTTCCAATCGGCCGACGGGCGTGGCAGCTAAGGCGAGCAAACAACCACACTGCTCAAAATGCTGCAGAGTGGAGGAAGTTGGCTTCTGCAGTCCACGCCTGCTATGGCCAAGAGTACAATCGCGCAGTGTCCTACCTGCAGGCCTTGGCTGCCAATAGCTTCTGGCAGAATGCCGTGCTGCCAGCCCTGCCCTGGCATGAGAGCCACCAGCTTGCCCCGGCGGGCCCGTACGATTTGAATGAGGCAGTGTTAAACGCTGTAGCTCCAGTTGTCCCTTTGAGGGCGATCTTTTCCGGTAACCGAAGGCAGTAGATCAGAATGAAGCAGTGTTAAACACTGTACGACAGCGATCTTGTTGGGAACCGCAGGCAGTAAAAAGCCAGCCGGCGAAACTAGTGTGCAACTTCATTGCGCAGATGCTGTGAAAGTTTGTTTGCTGGACGTTGTTATTGAATCCCCGCCGCAGCGTTTTGGAGTTTGTCCCACGCGCGCTGGCATGTTGAAGAAGCTGGAAGCGGCCAAGCAGCTCCAGGACCAGAAGGCAAAAGGCGAAGAGCCTGCCGGCGCCAGCCCTCCGCCCAGCAAGCAAGTGTGCGCTGCTTGGGAGCGGGGCTTGAAGAAACTTCCTGGTGGCGACCTGACCCTGGCCAAGGATGGCTACGCAAATGCGCTTGTTTTTGGTCAATGCTTCAGGAAATCATTGTTTTTCAATGTACCTTGATGCTACAACTGCAAAAATCTGCGCCAGTCTTGTGTTTTTCTCGTTTTTCAATGTACTTTACAAAAAAGTACATTGATTTCCTTCTGCGGTTTCCAAACCAAAATCAATGCACTGGTTGGCAACCAGCACATTGAAAACCCAGGATTTCATACACACGGTTTGAAACGGGCATCATGCCAAGTGAACCCCGGGTCGAACCTACCCCCCCCCCCCCCCCGAATCAATGCACTGGTTGCCAACCAGTACATTGATTTTACTTCTGGATTTCCAGATCAGAATCAATGCACTATTTTGTAATTCGTAGTGTTTGTGGCTTGGCCAGGGGGATGCAGGGGCCCCATTTTCAATGCACTGGTTGCCAACCGATACATCGAAAATGCCCGCCGGGAATCCTCCAGTACATCGAAAATGCCTGCCAGAAATCATCCAGTACATCGAAAATGCCTGCCAGAAATCCTCCAGTACATCGAAAATGCCTGCCAGAAAAATTCCGGCACATCGAAAAGGCCCGCCAGAAATCCTCAGGTGCATCGAACACGCTGCCAGAAATCCTCCAGTACATCGAAAATGCCCGCCAGAAATCCTCCAGTACATCGAAAATGCCCGCCAGAAATCCTCCAGTACATCGAAAATGCCTGCCAGAATGTTCCGGTACATCGAAAACGCCCGCCCAAAATCCTCCGGCGCATTGAGCACACCTCCAGAAATCCTCAGGTGCATCAAAAATGCCCACCAGAAAATCCTCCGGTACATCGAAAAGGTCCGCCAGAAAGCCCGAAATCCTCCGGCGCATCAGAAATACTCATCATTTCTGAAACATTGTGTCAGGGGTCAGATTATTGTGAAAGAATTGCAGAGTCACTTCATACTTCCCTGAGGACATTTGCGAGTTCGTGGCCAGCTTCAAGTCACCTGCTGGCCTGCCCGGCGCACGTCAGGATGCAGATTTGGACGCCCATCCGGCCAGCCTGGTGATTGAGAACCTTGCCTCTGGCAGGCCCACGGACAAGGTCAATTTGAGTCACTTGGAGTCTTGGTACGAAGAGTACTCCAAGCTGCTCGGCAAGCCCCAGAAGTTTGCACGCCGTGCGAGATCAAGTCGAGCATGGACGGGGAGACCATCAAGCTCCCCATCACCTGCTTGCGGCATCTAGCCTTGCAGTTGGGCCTGGGTTGGGCAGTTGATGGTATTGCTCACTGGCGTTTGACGCTGCTCAGGTTTGCAAAGCCAGTGGACGGGCTGCCATGCCTAGAAGACTGGATGGGCTGCTTTGAGAGCATGTTCTTCGGCTCGGTGGACCTGGGCAGGGAGCCACTTGATGTCGCCGTTGAGGTGCCGCCAGGGGCTAGCTGCTCTACTGCATATCTCTGCAGAATGCGGGGTAGCTTCATTTGGCGTTGGCTGGCGCCCGAACTTCTTAGGCAGCATCAACTGCGAGGCTGCGGCCCTGGACCAGGTCAAAGGCTGGACAAGATCTTCTGTGCTTGCCTTGCTGCTGATAGCAGCTGCGGAATATGACCTCGGCGACCCGTCCACCATGGACAAGCTCCAACCTCTTGAGAATGCCCTTGTGTGGCTTGTCCCCTCGCACGCGTCTTGTCTTTGTAAACAGTGCGCCGCGTGGCAAGTTTGCTGACTTTGTGCCCTGAGCTGCTTGTGACTTTACTGAGATCTCCGTGAACATGGACACAGCAAAGCAGAGCTACCGGAACCTCTGCTTGTCCTACAGAGGTTCAGAGAGACAGCCGCCCAATTCGCTGCAGCTGGCCTTGCGGTTTTCGCAGATTATTGAGATGCGAGACAAGCAGGGTGTCCACAACAAGCTTTGGACCCCGGAGCAGCGGCTGCAGGAGGTTGTGGACGAATTCAACGAGACGTCAGGTCTGCAGCAGAAGCACAGGGTCGATGCTGAACGGTTTCGCTCCCTGTTGAACTTGATTTCCGGCAGCTGCGAGGCGACTTGGCTTGACATTACGACATGTAAATGGCTTCATTTGCGTCTTGTAGTGTCATCCTGCAGCCAAGGAGTCCCGGCAAGTCCTTCGGCAGCACCTGAACCACCACAAGTGGCGGGAGAGCGCCTTCAGCGTGGAGCAATTCAAGGGTAGCCGCTGGTTGGTGGGTGCGACGCCCAAGTCTACCTGCCCTCCTGACATGAAGCAAGCTCTGACAGTGACGCCTGAGTCGCAGCGCATGCACTTCGAGCTCATTGTGCACACATTCGTCGAGGGGGGCAGGAAGCTCCGGCCAAGCGCAAGGTCACGCACGCGCGCTGCGCCCGAGGTCTTTGACAGGCATGCTGACTACGCCTGCATCTTCGCCACAATCTTGACTGCTGCCCGGCAGCTGTCCACATGGACAGCTGAGAAGGAGGAACAGCTTTACAAGCTGTTCCTCCAGAAGAAGCTTGGTTGTTTTGAGCGTGTGAGTATGTGAGAGAGAGAGGGCGTGCGCGCGCACGTGGTGCTTGAAAGAAAGCAATGACTTCCAAGGGCCTACTTCACGGACATAGAGGCGGCGATTGTAGCAAAGCTGGACAGCTGGCGGGTGTCACACCTGGCGGTCTGGGCGGACTACGTGGAGCCCAAGGTGCCGACCATCACCATCAGCGACAGCGTCGACATTGGCATTGCTGAGGATGAGGCCCAGGCTGCCAGGTTCCGGGAGGTGCGCGCCAAGCTCAGCTCGGACATGATGGCAATGGCGCAGTGGAACGCACGGCAGGAAGAAAACAGGAAACGGGCACACGTGATCAGCGTGTTGCACGAGAAGAGCCAGGTTGAGACCGGCAAGAAGCTGCTTGTCTCATTGAGTAGTAGATGCTTAAAAGTTCTTAGCAGCAGTCGTTGCAAGACTTTACGTTGGAAGCCCCCAGGCTGGCAGACGCCTACATGGAGCAGTGGTGCTCTGTCAGCTTGACTCCTGGCATTGGGCCAAAGTCACCAGAGGCTTTCCTCAAGGCCGTGGCTTTTCGCAACAAGGCAAGGCAGCGCGAGTGCCACGCACGTGGCGTGTGGTGACAGTGGTGACAGTGATTGAGTTGTGCCAGGTAAGCCCTTTGGATGTGCGCCTCATCCTCTACGTCGATTGCACCAAGTTCGGGGTCATGACCCAGAAGGAAGTCAACGACGTGGCAGACACAGTGGAGAAGCATTTGAATTACGGCGCAGGTGGACTTGGTTTGAATTTGTTTGTTTCTGACGCTGCCAGATGGGCGCTAATTGATTCAATTGATTCTGATGATGATGGCAGGTGGCATCGCTGTGATCCTGCCACCTTTGTTGAGCGGCAGTACTTCTGGCGGCTCGCTCCGGCAGGACTGGCGCCGGATTGAAGACAAGATGGCTGCCAACAAGGTGGAGCTCCGACAGTTTCACTCTGAACTTGGACTTGAGTGAGCTGCATCGGAACAGGGAGTTGCCGGCAGCCTACTTGTGCTTCCTGGGCGTGCAGGACCACGCGCTTCCGATGAAGGGAACCGCCCACAGAGCAGTCAAGGGTGTTCCAACCAGTGGGCAAGATGGGGTCAAGGCCAACTCGCTCCCTGGCATTGACTTGTTGCCAAATTTTAAAGCTTGTCTACGCGGCATGTCCAACGCCCTGACAAGCAACCTGAGGTTCTGCGCTTCTCCGCTGTGGCAGAAGCAGGCGTTGGCTGTGAAGGACTTCCCCTTTGCCATTCAGGAGAAGGACTTTATCATTCCTGGTGACTCCCTGCTGCACTTGAACGACCAGCGGCGCAACCTCACAGATTTCCAGGAAACGGCGCAGTGGCTTGGTGGCGTCGGCGTGCCCAAGGCCATCTTCAAGTCTTTGCTTGGTGGCTTGGCGCGCTCATGGTTGTTATTACATGTTCTTGCTTTCATCTCATGGTTGTTGGATCACGAGCCCTCAGGCGATGATGCAAAAGGACGCACCAAGCAGGTTGTGGCAGTGATCCACATGACATCCTATGACGGATGCGCAGAGCTGGCTTGCCTTCAGCTTGGGCTCCCGGTCATGGGAAGCACGCCTGTGGAAGCCAACTTCCAGTGTGCGTCCAACGCGGTTCGCAACCAGTTGCTGCAGGCGTGAGTTGATTGATCTTTTAAGCTCTTGTGCCATTGTGTGTTGCGCATTTTGCTGCTCATTGAGGCGTGGAAGGACAACATTCAGCCCATGGACAAGGTGGCCCCACGGTACCGGGCAAGCCCAGCCCAGGAAGAGATGCCAGTCTCGCCAGAGAGGCCGACTCTGGAAATCTGCCAGCACCAGCAGGGAACTTTGCTGCTGCCCCGGGACATTCGACAGCATTTTTTGCAGTGCCCGCTGTGGGGCCCAGAGTGGAGGGATGTGCTGAAGGACTTCGACAAGGCATGGAGCGTCAATGCTGAGCCAGTAGCTGCTGCTGCTACAGTTGCGGCTGCTGCTGTTGACCCAGCTGCCGCAGCAGGGCCAGCTGCTGCGGGCAGCTTTGACTGGGCTGCAGTCTTCAGCGATGAGGCCAAGACAGTGGCTGCTGCGCAGGAGAAGCACGGTAAGGCCTTGGCCGAGATGACTGTGACAGGAACGCCAGGCTGCACATTGATGCTGCTAGAGGACCACGCCCTCTTTGTTTGCGCCCAGGAAGCCGTCTCTATAGACTCCAGCATGGCCTTTCTGGCACACGGGGCAGGCACGTGGCTGTTGGGGGACAAGGCGACCAAGCTCAAGGCCGAACACCCTGAGAAAGGCTTTGAGTGCAAGTGGAACAGTGATGAGGATTTGGTGGTTTTGGAGGCGGATGGGGCGGATAGTCCACCATGCACCTTGCGCAAGGCCCTCCAAACTGTGGAGAAGGGCGGCCTGGTGGACTTCACTCTTCGAGGGCATTCAGTGACACGCCCGCCAGAGGTGGCCCAGGGCCACGCAGATGACAAGTTCACCATTGTGGCGACCAATGACATTTTGTGGAAAGCAAACAATGTGGCCATCAAGAGCCTCAAGAGCCACAACGTGGCCTCCACGTTCACCAAAGCAAAGCTGGAGAAGGTGCTGAAGCTTGCTCCTTGTCTCGTCTTCAATCCAGGCTGAGCTTGGCACTCACTGTGTTGTGTCAGCCAAGGTTTGGAGGATTCGCGTCTACAACTCTGACAAGACCATTGCGGCAGCCAAGCCTCTTTGGTTTCTTCCTGCTGGCCTCAGCCTTGGAAAGGACGAGTGCAAGCGAATTGTGTAGGCCCAGGCCCAAGGCAAAGCGCTGCAGCAGCAGCTGTGAAATAGATCTGGCGCAGTCACTTGTGCCATTTTTGAGACTTAGGGCAGTGCGCGGTAACGGCAACATGAGATTCAACATGCAATGTTGTCATTTGACTGGATTGTTTGCCGCATGCCGCTTGAAGCAGTCTGGATGGGGACAAGCGACTTGCACACAGTCTGGCAGCCTGCTATTTAAAGCACTTCAAAGTGACCACAAAATTCAAATTGTTTCAAATGGTCTGAAGAACGTTGAGTTGGCTGCCTAGAGGACAAGTGGCAAGTTGCTTTGAGGTTGGCTCAGGGTGCAGTGCAACATGATGTTGCTGTAGGGAGCGCTGTGATTCAGAAAGAATCCAGACCGGCGAGGCTAAGACACAAAGAGCGCATCGAGCAGATGCTGGCAGGGCAGGGCAGGGGCATTGAATTGGTTGAGTCTTGTGCCCAAAGCTTGTTGCTACACACGCGTTCCCAGCGAGATCTCGGCTTAGGTCAGTTTTGAGTGCCGCCATTAGCAATGGCTAGGGTGCCTGCAGTTTTCAGTGTGGACGACTCTCCCATGGAGTTCCATCGCAGCCCGCTGCAGCCTGGATTGATGGCAATCCGCGACACCTCTGCGCAGCGCCCCAGCGCCCTCCGCATCCGCCAGCACTTTGCCTCGGCGTGCTCTGCAGTGGAGGCAGATGCGACCAACACGCCGCCAGCGCGATTGAAGGACCAGTGTGTCACTGCTTCAGATTCAATTGTGCATGTAAATCTGGGTCCCAGGATTTTTCTCCGCTGGCAGCTGTGCCTGAAGTGCTGCTTGGAAGCGTATTAGGGTCACTCATTATGACAGTCAGCTTTGAACACGGCACCCATTTCACATTGCTAGCCAATCACCCTTTTCAGGGGTAAAATTATTACAATCATCACCATCGCCTCATGTCTCAGTCACCATCACTCACCACTGTTATTCAATCAATGGCAGCAGAATCACAAAATGAAGACAACGTCCAGCTTGACTTCTGTTTCAGGTTTGAGGGGTGCGCACCTCCAAAGACGCTGGACTTTGCCGAGACACAGATGGATGACACTCTGCCGGCGGACGAGTGGACTGATGCGCAGCTGTGGGAGGACCCCCATGGCATGATCCCTGCCACGCAGCCCGGCCCGCTTGACGTTGACCACTTCTTTGCCGCAGGAGGGTTGGGGATGACTAGTCATTCTTGGTGTCGAAAGTGGCCATTTGTGCGCAGGTTTATATTTGAGCCCGTCAGAACTTTTGACAATTAATGGCACTGCGTGTTGTCTTGGGGAGATGTTCAGCGGCCCTTTTTGGCTGTATAATTCACTGCTGGCCCAGAATTTAGCTTGCACAGGCTTGCGGCTTGCGCGTATTTTGGAATCAGACGCATTGATTGCATTGTTTTGGAATTGGTTGGCAGCTTGGATTGGCAAACAACGCAGAGGAAAAGGCCTGGCCTGACAGGAGTCGACAAAGGCAACAAAGATGATGACAGGCAGCGTCCTGCTGAGCGGCCTCAGAAGATCCGCCGGCTCAAGAACATGGCAGCTGACACGCAGGAGGACAAGGCCTCAGCTGCTGCAATGCAGCCGGAGCAGGAGAAGGCCTCATCCACCACAGAGCAGGAGAAGGCTTCATCCGCCACAAACCAGGACCAGGAGAAGGAGCAGGAGAAGGAGCAGGAGAAGGAGCAGGAGAAGGCCTCATCCGCCACAGAGCAGGAGAAGGCCACAGAGCAGGAGAAGGCCACAGAGCAGGAGAAGGAATTCACCACGGAGCAGCAGGAGAAGGCCTCAGCTGCCACAGAGCCCAAGAAGGCATCAGCCACCAAGCAGAAAAAGGCCTCAGAGCAGGCCCATGGGGCAGGGCGGCAGCTCAACAAGCTGACGCCGGAGAGCAAGAAGAAGGAGGTGGAGCGCCGCAAGGAGCAGAACCGGGCAAACTCTCGGATTTGGCACGAGAAGTACGTGAAGAAAGGCGTTTTGCGCACACCGACCTCCACAGCGCCGCCAGCGCCGCCAGCGCCGCCGGCTTTGCAGGTGGCAGTGAGGTCCATGAAGGATGCTCAGCACAAGTTTGTGAAGGAGTGGATTACAACATGCGGCCTTGAACCCAGCCAAGAGCGACGCCAAATGGCTTTGAAAGCTTGGATGGCCAGCCCTTTGCGTGCTGAGATCCTGGCTGGCCGAGTTGCAGTTCAAATGTAGCCGCCGGCCAGTTTGGTTGTTCTAGCCTGAGTGGGCCAAGTGGCCCTTGCCCAGCCGGCAGCCTGTCTTCCGGGTCAAATACTGAGGTCAGGAAAGAAAGTCTGCATGAGTGAGGTTCATTTGGTTTCCAAGACAGGCTGAAAGGCCACATGGGATGGGCTGGGCTTAGTGCAACTGCTGCAGCCGCAAGAGGCAACAGCTGAGTTGAATTATTTGGGAACCAGTTGCAATCTGTCTTGAAATTGGTTTGGCCCTGCCAGCGAGGCTGGCAGCAAGAAGGGCCCCTATCCAATGATTTGTGAACAAGGAGAAAAATGCAACCACATTGTAAACGTTCAGAATGGCCTTGCCCATTTCAATACAGCATTGTGTTGACACCCGGGGGGCATTGGGGCGCACAGGGTCACTACAGTGTGCCGCAGCCAAAGGCAAAAAGGCGTCCCTGTGCTTGCTGCTCTTGCAACAAACTGCTTGGCATGACTTGCAACATGTCTCCCGGTCTCCTGGCACTCGCAGGGGGAAGCGGCCGCCGGCTGTGGGGCTGCGGCAGCTGGGCTGCAGCGGCTGGGCCTCTGGCGCAGCAGCTTCATGTTACATGGTGCGTGTCAGGCAGCACGGCAGCTCGGAATTAAATGCCTTTTTTGGGCCGACTTTCAGCTTCCAGCGGGTTGTGCCTTTTGGCGGGCTATTAGTTAGTTCAATGTCAACTCGCCTCAGTTCCAGATTCACAAGGTATCAGAATGTGAGACAAGGAAATATCAGTACATGGTCTGCCATAGTTGCTGCAAGCTCGCGTTTCCGAGCAGGGACTCAGCAACCTGATTTTCGGTAAGCCTGCCATATGACTCCCAGACGGAGTCAGTGGTGATACGAGCAAAGCTCTTGCCAACTTCGCTCTTGACATTGGTCAGCTTCAAATCATTTATGCTTCGCTGCCGGCCAGAATGAGACCGAATGTTGGAGATCTTCACAGAGCATGTTGCCGGGGGCGTGTAGGACTTGCGGATGCGCCGGATGGCAGCCGAAACCACATCCTGTGGGCAACTGGTCGCAGGCAATCAAAGTGTCAGCAGCAGTCCTGGAAAACATAACGCTGTACTAAGTGTCAGGCAAGTGGCTTTGTTCCGCCGCTGGAGCTCTGCGTCTTCACGGAGGGCTGGGAACAAGTAGTCCTCGTTCTTCTTTGGCCAGACCCACTCATCTTGATAGGTGCACACGCCCCGACTTCCCCACTTGCGACTCCGAGGCACTCGTTCACCACCATTTGCTTCGAGCTTCCTCAAGAAGTGCTCAGCGCTTGGCGTGATAGGCTTGCGGATTTCCCCATGCCCTTTGAGCGCAGGGACTGTCAGCCACTTGTCCTGGAGGTTGATGTGGACTAGCTTCAACTTGAGCACTTCAGTCACCCGGCAACAGAACAGGTGTGTGAAACACACCACCACCCAAACCCAGGTTGGGCCAGTTGCCCAGACGTGGTTTGCCCACGCACGCCAAGCATCTCCTGTAAGCGACTCAGCCTTGCCTAGTTTTTTTGATTTGGCTTTTGCGCTCTTGGCCTTCATGACTTTCATGGTCTTTGTGGCCTTTGTCGCTTTCATGGTCTTCATGGCCTTCATGGCCTTCATGTCCATTTCCTTCATGCTTTTCATGGCAAGGGGCAAGGAATCCAAGGCGTTCTGAGCAGCTCCAAACACTGCGAAGTAGCATCCCATTGCTGAACAAGCAGTGGCCAAGCGCTGAGCAAGTGCACTTCCTGCAGCAGTGCTGAACAAGCGCAGCAGCAACTCTGGGCTGAACAAGCTCAGTGACAGGCGCGCTTGTATGACTCGACTTCATGCATGTGTTGGGGGCGTGTTGTGAAAGGCAGGTCGCCTTTGCACCTTTGAGGCATGGTCGCTAACTCACCGGAAGGCGACCTCCCCCTGCTCAAAGGCGACGTCCCAAGACCCGAAGGCGACCTCCCCGTGGTTAAAGGCGACCTTCCAGGACTCAAAGGCGACCTCCCTTCCCTGGGTTCCCCAGCTTGAATGTACTGCCAAGGCACTCGCTGGCTCGCGCGCCCGCAGCGAACGACAGCGGCCGCTGGCTGCTCAGCCTCATTTAGACCCCACGTGCTTGTCCAGCACTGAACTGCGCTTGTTCAGCGCAGCATTCAACACTCAGACTCAGAAGTGCTTGTTCAGCACCGTGTGCTTGTCCAGCACTGAACTGCGCTTGTTCAGCACAGCGTTCAACACTCGTTCAGCACCAACCAGCGCACAGAAGTGCTTGTTCAGCACCGAGTGCTTGTCCAGCACTGAACTGCGCTTGTTCAGCACAACATTCACTCTTCTGAGCGCTTGTTCAGCACTGTGTGCTTGTCCAGCACCATGCCATGTTGGCTACATCCTACGCTTGTTTAGCGTCAACTCAGCACGCTACATCCTACGCGTGTTCAGCACCAAACCCTGGCTTGCTGCACTTGCTCAGCACAGCGCCCGGCATGCCATCCAGGATCAGCTGCCGAAGAACGTGTAGCACGAGCCCGAATTCCTTGGCAGACAGGCAGGCTTGACCTTTCAACTCCCACCCCGCAAAGTCAAAGCAGCTGCAAGCAACTTTCGACCAGTGTCAGTTTGAGATTC